ATTCCCCCATTCAGATTTTTAACCGGAGTGGAGGATGAGGATGATGAGAGCCGACAATGACAGCGAAATGGACAGCGACAATGTATGAGGACGACAATGATGACAGTTAGCGATGAAGACGACAAATTGGGTTTCAAATGCTACACCTGATTTCGTCCTATCGGGTTAATAGATGAAATAACAATAATCTAACTGCGAATCTGACTTTAATCTAATGTCATTTCCAGTGTATCGCATGGTATCACAATGATTACTACTAGTGAGCAGCAGCGATGAATAGGAGTTTGCAGAAAAACGTGAGAGTGATACATGACCCACCAATCTCTAGACGAAGTGATCCTGTCTGTAAATAGTAGAATCATTTTATTCTGATCTCATCCACTTCATATTTAATCATTTATTATTTGTTTTGAAAATTTTTTTGTGATGCTGGTTGATTTAGCGAACTGAAGTTAGTCTCAGTTTTTATTCTTGTTGTAAATGTTCTCTGAACAAGAAAATTAAATGTAAAATTGTAATTACTGATGATGTCAGCACGTTAGCAGATTAATGTTCTTGAGCGAAATACTGAAAACTTTTCCAACATACAGATGATCCTGTAATGAGACAGAGTAGAGACACGCTTTGATTTGGTGATTCAGGAACTGAATATGACAAGAATATCTTTATATTTTTATTTGCTCTCTTATTAAAATATTTATATAATATATTACTCTTGATAGTCGCTGATTTTTTAGCCTCATCCTGTTGTTTCTTTCCTATTGATCCTTTGTTATAGTACTGTAGCGTATGCTTGTGTATTTTTGAAAGGATTTCTTCCTCTCTTTGGCGCGCCCCTCCGAGATTGGTCTAAATGTCTAATAAAACAGCCATTAAAGACTCATTTTGGGGGGTAGAAATGATTTGTAAAGTTGGTGATTTAGAAACTGATATCTGTCACTCATACTGTTGCTTGTTCATTATAAAATCAAGCAAATCAGAAATAGCCATGTGCTCAAGGAATGTAAATTTTAAATTACTGAATAAAACTTACTCTCAGTTTCTCCTGTCCATTTCTGATTGGATATAGGATGAGCAGATCAGTCTTTAAGTATCGGTATTATACATGACGTCAAGAGAAAGAGAGATAAATGAATTTAAACATTTGAATATTTCAGCCATGGATGCTCTTTGTTACCAACGAGCGCTTGAAAGCTCTGTTCCCTTCAACAACTCTCTGACAAGTCCTGATAAAACAGGTGAAGAGATTTTAAGACCATAGTATCCAACAATAGTGCGGGTACTAGATTGAAACCACCTACAAACACTTCAGAATCACAAAGCATTACATATAATAGTAAAACAAGTTATAACCAGTTAAACACAACATCCATGTATTGAGAATTACTTCACTTGTCCTGTCCATTGCTGGCTGTCATAGGAGTGATAAGTGATTTCAGTTTTGCATTGAACAAGGTGGGTGGAGGCAGTTGATTAGCGGTTATACAGGGATTTAAATTGGCTGACAGATGACAGTGGAATGCAATGATTTCCTGCGCTCGACGTGCCAAAGGAAGGTAATGTTTTCAACCGTTGGTTTATTTGTCAGCAGGATTACGGAAAAAGGGACTGAACAGATTGGAGCTCAATACTTGGGGGTGGGGTGTGGGCCACAGGAAGAACTCCATTCAATTTTCGAGAAGGCGAGATTACCAATTAAAGTGGTGGAAATCGGATTTACTTTCTCAAGCAGTTTTCCTTAACATTTGGGGACACCGGGGATAATTTTTCAACACTTCGTGGTCATTTGGTCGCCTTGCTGGGGGGAATCGTCATCATGCTAGTGACTTACATTCTAGGTAGGTAGAACGAACATAGATGGAGAAATTTCGTGTTAATCTTCATTTACAATGAAATGGTGTTTTCAAAGTGGAAGGTAGATTTTGCCAGGGAAATGGGTATGAAGCAGGTTACCTCTTGTAGAACCTGCATACAGAGTCACATTCTTCATCTATACTTGGAGGAGAGTTAGAACTAAAGAGAGGCCTGACGATTCCACTTTCACGACATAACTACGCCTCGACTGACAGACGACAGTTACAAGACAGAATACGTGAATACTGGAAAACCAACAACGTCCAGCTGCTATTGATATGCGAACCGACCATATACACTCCAAGAGACATTTCCAACAGAGGTAGGAACCACTCAAATCGACTTTCTTTCAAGTTATGCTGCTGTGTTTTAATCTCACTTGGAAGGACAATGTCTGCACAGTCAGAGGACGATCTCTCCTGTCCAGCTCTGCCAGGAATATTTTCAAAAATCTGTCGTCTGTCGTGCAGCCACAGCTTCTGTAAAGACTGTCCTTCCAGAGCCTGGTGAGAGAGAAACCAATACAGGAGTGTCAGTTTTGTAAGAAAATATCTCACAGTGTGTCACACCCTCGTAACTTGGCTTTAAAGACCTGTGGTGAGGCTTCTTTATTGCGAGAGATCAGAGAGCTTCAGCAGGGCTGAGTCTCTCTGCAGTCACTGCTGACCTCTGAGAAACTCAACTCTTGCTGTCTGAGACCATAGCAGACAGTCTGTCTCGTCTGTACTGCATTCAAAAGCATCACAGTAAAGTACAGATGTCAAACCATCGATGAAGCTGCACAGGATCACAGAGAGGAGCTCAGAAATCCCTGAAGCCTTTACAAGAGAAACTGAAGCTGATATAGACAAGTTAAAAGGAAACTTTGATTTCAAAACAGCAGAAACACATTTAAGGTCCAGGCCAACACACAGAGAGGCAGATTAAGCGAGTGCAGTTTAAGAGCTTACGCAAGTTTCTAGAGGAGGAAAGAGGAGGCCAGGATCATGCTCCATGAGGGAGGAAGAGGAGCGAGAAGAAGAAAGTCGCGATGATGTACAGGGAGAATGGAGGCTTCTTGAGCCAGAGAGAATAAAAGCAAGCTCTGTCAACCACCGACAGTAGAGCCACAGAGGACGAGCCTGAGAGATGAAGACGTCCTCATTCCTGAGGAACTCACAAAGGGTATTACAGTGGAAAGCAGTCCAGGCATGCGCGGACCACCTGCTGGATTGATCCAAGCTGGGTCTCAAGGAGCTCTGATAGGAGCCAGGCCAACACATCTGGGCCAACCTGACTTCACATCTGGGACAAGATGAAGGACATGGTCTCCCTACCAGTCCTGTGGTTTGGACAACACTGCTCATCCAGAAACTCATCCTGTTTTGAAGGATCTACCAGTGTGAGACGAGAGAGAATACAGAAGCTTCCCCTGAAAAATTGCAGAGAGGGATGTGGTGAAACCTTTCACATTGGTCCTGAGCTCTGAAGGGTTTTTAACTCAGGGGATCACAGCCTGGGATGTTGACGTTGGAGACAATAAATTCTGGTTTTTTGGGAGGTGGCCACCAAGAGTCTGTGATAGAGGAAAGGAAACGTACCAGTCTGGAATATGGGAGAATATGGGTTGTCTATGGTAAAGTATATAAGCCCTTCTCTCATCAGACAACCAGTTGTTCTCTCAGTGGGAGAAGCTTCAGAAAGATTCAGAGTACAGCCTTGGACTGTTATCAGGAAACATTGTCAATTCTCTGTATCATGCATACTTAATGAACACATTACACTTGAACACACACTTCACTGAAAAGAGCTATTTTCCATCATAAGCATTAGAGCATGAATCCCCAATTAAGATTTTACTGAATGCTAGATTTGATGATGATCTTATGATCATGGATGATGAATGATGAATAGTGATTTGCAATCTTTGACCTAATCATAGGTGATTATGATGATGATTCCGATGACAGTGACACAGTGATGCACATTTACAGGTTTACTGTCTAATGAATCTAAATTAATCTAATCGTTCATTACAGTAGTATTTGTATCAAATGGAATGATGAGCAGGAAAAAATCCTGCTGTAAAAGTAGAATCATTTTTATAAATTTGCTCTCAGTCATTTTATTTCATTTTGTTTTGAGATTTTTCTTTTGTGATGCTGTGATTTAGAAACTGAAGTTGTCTCAGTTTTTAATTTTCATTGTAAAGTAGCTCTGATACAAAAAATATAATATTATAATTTCTTTGGAATGAATATTCCCACCATACAGATGATCCTGTATGAGACCAGAGTAAGAGACACTTTATTTTGGTTGGTTCAGGATCTGATATGAACAAAATCTCTTTTTATTTAGATTTTTTCTCTTTATTTTTAATATTTAATATTTTTCTTTTGATAGTGTCATTCTTTTTGTCTTGCTTTTCTGTTGCCTCATTTGTTGTTCCGTCGGTTATCTTGCTCGTTTTAAAGGTGCTTTTTGTGTTGGCTTAATAAAAGACAATTCAAAAAATTTATATGTCTTTGGCAGCACTCGAGTGTGTGCTATATTTGTTTAAACGAAGGCGTCAGCAACCCGGTACAATAAGAAAACCGAGATACATGCTCAGAATGTAAACTTTTAAATTACTGGGAAATAAACTTACTCTCAGTTTTCTCCTCCACATTTCTATTGGAAAAGTGGGTTTTACGGTATTATAAAGAGAAGAAGTAAATAATTAAACAGCTGAATATTTCTACGCCATGGATAGCTCTTAATGTACCACCGAAGCTGTTGAAAGCTCTTTCCCTTTCACACCATCTCTTGACAAGTCCTGATAAACAGGTTGAAGATTTTTTAACAGTTAGCTTCCAATCACCATGTGTCATCGCGGTTCAGACCTAATTTTGAAACAACCTACAAATACGTCTCAGGGCAATGCACTAAAAGCATTACTTAATCTAAAAACCAAAAATTCAAAAAATAGCAACAATATAAAATAAGGAAAATCACATTTGGTGTCGTTCTGAGAGCACTGCGGCATCTTGTTGTCTATCGCAACCAGGTCTTTACGCGTATTTCGTTTAAGCATATCATCCTATAGTTGTGTCATATTGACAGATGTTCGATCGCTTGTATATGAAATCTAGTTATTTTAAAGCAGTTCAAACAAATCTTTAGTTTTTGAGATTTAGGTTTTATTATTTGATTATGGTCTGAAATACAGAAGTGTTCGAATCCTGAACAGTTTTATTTCTCTGCCTCGCTGAGTTCTTTGGTTTCTCCTGTCGCCTGACTGCATGGCTGAGTTTCTAGAATCAGTTTCTTTTTCTCTCCTTCCCTTTGTCTTTCATAAATCCGTGCTAATCCTTGTGGACATCATCTCTTATTAACGCAGTGTGCTGGTGTTGGGTAAAACCGCTTATATGAACTGTGGAAGTCACTCTTCAGAACCAACTGAAACCAGGACAGCTGGCAACAGAAGCTGACTAACTCTGAACGGTTAAAAACAACTCCAGATGTATTAAATTGACATATCAACTCTCTGCGCATCCTGCTGCGTCAGGCATGTAAGTGGTGTGTTTTGTTTCAGTTCTGCATTGCCACAGCTCACTCTGTGTACAAACAAGAAGTAATGTTCCCAGCTAAAAACAAAACAGCGCAATCCTAATATTTATAGAAAGGAATAGAGCATCGGGCTGTGAGTTCAACGCTGAACAATGACAATTTAAAATCTAGTTTGTAGTAAGAAGCTGAGATAGGTTCTGAGAAACACCTCATTGTCTCACACAGGAAACACGTTCCTCTGATGAATGTGTTAGGGAAGTGTGGGTCCTATACGCAGGGAGGAGAAACTAGAGAGAGGACTTTGGACTAAACTCACAACTTTCTACTGAAATACAACACAGCCACAAGCACAGAACACGGAAATACTGAAAACCAACACGTCCAGCTGCTAACTGATCTGCAAACAGACCATTCAACTCCAACGACACATTTCCAAACAGAGGTAGGAAACCACAGAAACGGACCTTTCCTTCAAGTTGCCTGCTGGTGTTTTAATCTTCACTTGGAAGGACAATGTACTGCCACGTCAGAGACGATCTATCCTGTCCAGTCTGCCAGGATATTTTCAAAATCTGTCGTCCTGTGTCGTGCAGCCACAGCTTCTTTGTAAAGACTGTCTGCAGAGTGGTGGAGAAGAGAAACCTATACAGGAGTGTCCAGTTTGTAAAGAGAAGATCATCAAGAGAGTGATCCACCTCGTATTGGCCTTTAAAGAACCTGTGTGAGACTTTCTTACTTGCAGAGAGATCAGAGAGCCTTCATGCAGGTCTGAGTCCTCTCTGCAGTCCTGCACTCTGAGAAACTCCAAACTCTTCGTGTCTGGACCATCAGCAGCCAGTGTGTTGTCGTGTGTCTGCATTCTCAAAAGCACACAGTAATCACCAATTCTGTCCCATTGATGAAGCTGCACAGGAAACGCAAAAAGGAGCTTCCAGAAATCCGCTGAAGCCTTTACACAAGAGAAACTGAAAGCTGTTTGAACAAGTAAGGAAACTATGATCAAACAGCAAAACACCATTAAGGTCCAGGCCCCAACACAACAGAGAGGAGCAGAGTTAAAGGAGCAGATTAAGAAGCTTCACCAGTTTACTAGAGGAGGAAAGAGGAGGCCAGGATCACTGCTCTAGAGGGAGGAAGAGGGGAAGCCAGAAGAGTCGGATCGAATGAAGAAGAAGATCGGAGGCTCTGAGCAGAGAGAATAGCAGCTCTGTCACACACAGTCAGAGCCCACAGAGGACGAGCTAGAGTGACGTGGGGCTACATACGTCTATTCCTGAAGGAACTACAAGGTACAGTGGGTAAAGAGACCAAATATTAATGTATAAAATAAAGAGCAAATTAAAATATAAGATATTTTGTCATATCAGTTCCTGAATCACCAAAATAAAGTGTCTCTTACTCAGTTTTATACAGGATCATCTGTATGTTGGAAATGTTTTCATATTTCCTCAAGACATTAATCTCCTTATATTCTTCATCAGTAATTTACATTGGTCATGGTAACTGTCATCAGTGTCGTCGTCCTCATCATCATCATCATCATCATCATCGCCATCATCATCGCTGTCATTGTCGCTGTCATCATCCTCATCCTCCTCTGGTAAAATCTGAATGGGGAATTCATCTCTATTGCCAATGAATGGAAACAACTTCTTTGCACAAGTGCGTTTGAAGGTGTAAATGTGCTCATCAGTATCGAGATCAGAGAAAGACAGTTTTCTTCTGTCACAGTCAAGCTCAACTCTGATCTTCTGAATCGTTTCTATAATTGACAGAAAAACTGGTCGGCCTGATGGGGAGAAGGCTTTATATTTACCATTAGACAATCCTATTATCCATCTTCCAGACCGTATGTTTCCTTTCCTCTTCACAGACTCTGTAGCCACTCCCAAAAACCAGAATTTATTGTCTCCAACGTCAACGTCCCAGCTGTGAGTCCCTGAGTCAAAACCCTCAGAGCCCAGGAT